GTTGTTTTGTGATCGGCTGGCGCTTTTTTTTAATTTTTCTTTTTTTTTTAGCTCTGCATCTCAGAAAGTGCGTTAATTTAATGAGGGTATTTAAGGACTACGTAATGATTTTTGTTCTTGTATACTGTTCAGGATGTTGCCAACTTTATAATGATTATTGTACCTGCCTCTTGTTTATAGAGCTTAAAATACTTTAAATAAAAAAAGCTTTTTTTTCAAATGTTACATTTTTGTTTTTCGTTATTTCTCTGAGTGCTGCAATTGGTGTATTAAAGGCATACTTTACTTGTTGAAATCCCACACAACACACCATTACTTGGCTTTGGATGGAGCAAACAGCAACGCTGCACCGCCGCCTGCAGGCCGAGTGACGTCAGCGCACCTTGCAACCGTTTCGCGGCCTGAGGAAACAACGGAAGTTGACGGTCTCCTAGCAACACGGACGCTAACCTGATCCCCTTTATTTCCTTACAGTGGTAAGTAACACTTAAAACGACCTTGTGTTGTTTATTGTGTATACAACAGTTTTTATATTTCCGACATAAGTTGTTATTGAGCAACCAAGCTGTTGCGGTTTGCGGGAAAGTAGCGTTATGAAATACTACTAGTAATGCATCCTACTGTGGTGCTGATGTAACTCACACGATACTGCTGCTGTTTGTTGGTTAAAGGCGCACATCAAAGCAGGTTTCATTACGAGTAGATACCAGAGTCAAAGCCAAGTGGTGTGAGGATGGAGAGGACGGAGAGCCAGGGTGGAGCAGGAGGAGGAGGAGGAGGAGGGATGGAGCAGCAGACTGGCCAGGAGCCCAGCAACACACCAGCTGAAACGGTACAGAGACCCCACCTCGGACTGGTTTGTGGTTTCTATGGAGGCAGCATATGTGCATGAGTGACGCCTAAGTTAATTTGTATCTGTATGTTACTGCTATCACAGAGGAATAGTGCAATCAATGTGTGGAGAATACACAATTTTGTGTGGGTGTGTGTTTGTGCTGTCCGAGCAAAATTGTGTGTAGCCTAAAAGGGATTGAGACACTAGTAGAGGGAGTGCCTTCTGTCCGTGTCCCAGAATGCATTAGGTGATCGGCCCGATGGAGAACAGACCGACCCGGGGACAGACGATGGCACCAGCCGGTCTCCCGCTGACCACAGGGCTGTCCATGAAGTACCTTCCTTCTCAGGTCACCTCCCCACTAACCCTAGCAGGGAAAACAATGATCCCTGTCACAGGCAGCGATCACTGTAGGCTTGCAAACACACCTGAGTGAGATACAGTTTGTTTAAGAGGAGGGTTGATTGGGAATTTGTAACGTTTGAAGTTCCCTGTCTTGATTTCAGAGCGAGACGTGGATGAAGATCAGACGACCCCTTCTTTCCCCACAACAGAGGAGAGCAGGGAGGAAGAGGAGGACGACGACGAGGATGAATTGATCGTTCTTGACCCCGAACATGTTAGCAAACCCAATCACAAACACTCCCAAATTATGTTTTGCCACTTTCCAGAACATGTTTGAAAGACAAAGTTGTCATTATTATTGTGGATCACTTTGAAGGGAAAAGTAGATATTTTGTATTTATTTATTAACAGCAATTCTATCCAATGATGCGTGTGTGCCTAATGATGAAACTATGTCTTCATGCAGAAGATACATGGATGTATTTGCTACCAATGTCTGGTTTCACAACTAGATAACATAACATAACATCACATAAAGATAGCTGAAGAGAAAACAAATGTATACAGCTTGAAGTGTTGTTTGATCCAAGGTGTTGTCTGCTTCCAGCCGCTGGTCATGAAGTACCAGAAGGCCCTGAAGAGCCAGCTCACCAGGCAGCTGGACAGAGTCAACATGGACCTGAGGGAGAAGGTTTGATCCTCTCTAACATTGTATTGTTGTAGGCTGGGAATTGTATTATTGTGCACTGGTGCTACAAACGTGGCAAAAAAAAGCATAACTCGGATGCGTAAATAAATGGTTACAATATATATAGAATAGACTAGGATTGATAGAGGTGGAGGTGTTGCTATGCATGTCAAAAGTCGTTTTAATGTATCTATCCTGTATGCTATTAATGTACCTAAATGCTTTGAATGTATTGCCCTGAAAATTTAATGTGGATCCAACAATTCCATAGTCCTTCAGCCAAGGACCTACTCTCTCAATATGTTAACTCAGAAACAATAATCCAAGGTGACTTTAATCTTGACTGGTTATCTAACGATTCTGAACACCTTAAGGAAATGATGATTAATTAATTTGAACTTTTCACAATTGATTACGGACTCCACCAGGCCAAATCGAAAAAATCGTAACGTTCATTGTTTACTGACCTTGCGAGGCGTTGCCGCGGTGCGGACGTGCTGAACGTTGAAATGATTTCAACTTTGACCCGGCGTGCCGCATGACGTTAAAGCGCCAAGCAATACATTTGCTGTACAGAAGGGAGAAAGAAACATCCACTCCATGTAGAAATGGTGGACTGTTTTAAGAAGGTTTATTTTGGCCGCGTATGACCAACTGCTTTTGTATGACAATCGCTTAACGGCATACCGAGACCTAAATGAAGAGGCGGTTAGAAGCCGCTACAAGGAAACACGTATTTAACCACTACTACCTACACATGTCAAATGTAATAACTGTGTATAATCTGACCAGAAAGAGATCTGCCTAGATTTTAATTACGATTTTGCTGCTGCTGGGCTTTTATGTAAAGATGTGTATACAAGTCCTACACCTATTAATGGTGCCCTACCCTGTAAACCACCTTTCTCAGTTCACAGTACAACCTATTTTTCCTAGTGACGAAGCCAATGCACTACAAACCACTGATACCAGGAAATCAACTGGAGCAGATAAAATCGATCCTTTCTTTTTAAAGATTTCCACACTTTATCACTGAGCAAATAATACAGATGTTATCCATTTCCATTTCAAGGCCTAATTCCCAGTATCCAGAAGTCCGCTCATGTGATTCCTTTGTACAAGGAAGGGGACAACTGTGATCTCAATAGTTATCAGCCAATATCCAAACTTCCCTGTCTGGGTAAAAATCCTGGAATCACTGGTGAATAACCAACTCAAAGTATTTCTCTTTAAATATTCAGTTTTCGTCCTTACCAGTCTGGTTTTAGACCTGTAGTACCATCTCTGCTGTTACATTAGTCGTAAGCGATTTTGTTTCTTGTATGGTCACATTTATTGTGCAAAATGCGTGTTTCCCCCAAAAAAATATTTCTCAAGAATGTCCTTTGATTTACTGCTTCAATAAAAAAAAAACTTAAATTTGACTTCCTTTTGTCTTTGTTTCTTCCTTTTCCTGTCTGCCTCTACCTCTCCCTCCTGCCCCCTCCGGCCAGTGTGCGCTGGAGAAGGCGGGGGCCAGGCGCATACAGGGGCTGGGTGAGGAGTTGTACCAGGTGCAGGCGGAGCTGGCCAGGCTCCAGGCCAACCTGGAGGACCATCACCGGATCACCGACCAGACCGCCTCGGAGCGCCGGCAGGCCGACGAGCAGCTGGAGGCCATTAAGAACCAGTACCACAGCATAGCCGGCCAGGCCGACAAGGAGAGGAGCCACGGTGGGACTCTCCCTCTTCTCTTTCTCTTTCTCTCTGGCTCACCATATGGATATGGATGTATGGATAATACCGCCTGCCTTATGTTAGAGATAATGTACAGCGAGCCGGTCATGATTGCTAAATAAACCCCCTCAGGGTGACGTAGGACCCCAACACCAAGCAGAGGGGTCTTGAATCACCCTGAAGGGGTATAATGCAATAATGACCAGCTCGCTGTACATTATCCGGCTTATTACACGGCCACTCACTAAATAAATCAATCATTTGGTTCATCATTTGATAATTGGAAATAGCGTCCATGGCAACGGTCTGTTATTCATGGTAGCTGTCTGCTATTCAGAAATAACGGACCATAGAATGCCGAAATTGACCAATCAGAATCGAGTATTTAACAAAGCTGTGTAATAAGCCTTGTTTAAGACTCTCTCACCGGCACCGATGAGACCTCAGGTTTAGTTTTAGATTTCGGTCAGCGGTATACGCTGGACCTTTTCTCCCCTGGAGCTTTACCCCTGTGGACACTAACCGCACCCCACCACTACGACCTACCGCACACTTCTTTTTAAATTGTGTATCTCTTGTTAATTATTATGACTATGTAATTACTATGTTATTACTATGTTATTACTATCCATGTACTTTCTGCTGTGGCATCCTAATTTTGAAAAGGAAACCCTTGTGTTGTGCCTGTGTGTCCTCCTCCTCCTCCTCCTCCTCCTCCTCCTCCTCCTCCTCCTCCTCCTCCTCCTCCTCAGTGTCCCAGCTGCAGACTGAGATAGACACCCTGACGCGTCGCCTCTTCTACATGCAGGAGGGGAACGCCGAGCTGCATTCCGACATCAACGCCATGAGGAACGCCACCCGCAAGGCGCAGGCCGAGAAGAGCCAGGCGGAGCTGCACAAATACAAGCAGGTAAAGAGGGCGGGGGTGGGGTGGGGGGGGGGGGCGAGTGTTAAGCACGTTAAACATGCTGGCCCCCTTTTTAGACTGCCTGTAGAGCTAAGTCAATTCAAGTCCATTGTATTTGCATAGCCCTAAATCACAGTTACAGTCTGAAAGGGCTTCACAGCCCACGTTTTACGATACTGCCTTACCCTAAAACTTTTATAGGGAAGAGGAAAAACTCCCCAAATCCAAGGGAAGAAACCTTGAAAGTGTAATGAATCATTGAGTACAATGGTTTATTGAACAGCTGGGTTGCTTCTCCTGGGTGTTTGTAGGACCTGTATGTGGAGCGCCTGACCAAGGACCTGGAGAGAGTGATGGAGCAGACGGCCTTGTACGAGGCCCAGGCTGCCGCCCAGAAACCGGAGACGCAGGCAGCCAAGGAGGCCCTGTCTGAGGTGGGTCAGCATCACACACACCCCAAAGCACAGTGGTGGAAAGACAAGTGTGTGAGAAACTACATCCAAATCCTCGGCCCAGTCACAGGGGCCTAATGGAGAAGGCATCAGCCTCCGGAGCTGGAGGTGGTGGGTTCGAGTCCCACCTGGGTCTAATGAGATCTTGCTTATGTTGTTCTTTACCTTAACATTTGGGCTCACATCACTTTTGGCAGTCTAGTGGCTAAGGTATCTGATTCACAGTCAAAGTTAAATTCCCAATGTCCTCAGCAGAATGGCTTGTATCTGTAAATCTCTTTGGGTAACAAAATGTGATGCCTATGACCACAATCTACTAAGAGATCAGTTCTCTCTCGCTCTGCTCGAACAACACACAGCACACAGCAAGCTAAGTATGTCACTGATTTCGGAAGTCTTTTCAAACCACATATCGTGAGAAGGAAATGAAACCCTTTCATTATGTTCAGATGTGTTTTTTTATGTTTTGTTTTGTTGTATACCTAGACTTTCAAAAATCATTGTGGACACCATCTGTGTGTCAGACATGTAGATGACCATCGTGATCTGCTTATCAGGATTTCTTTTAAAGGGGCAGTGAACCCAAAGTGTTTTCTTTCTTTTTTTTGAAACGTGGTAATATGTCTTATGTCTTGATATGATCGTCAACATAGTAATCTACAAAAACAAGAGTAAAATCCTATGTTTTTGCCAGTCCCTGCCAACCAGTTTGTGAATGTCCCCCTCCTTCTTGTACGTCTTGTCCCAAACACATGTTTTAAATCTGATAGTGTTCAATTAGAGCTGAAACAGGGGGTTCACTTACACTTAAATCGATTATATTGACTTATCTGCAGACCTTCATGAGAAGTTTCTATAGTTACTTATCTGTGTGTGTGTGTGTGTGTGTGTGTGTGTGTGTGTGTGTGTGTGTGTGTGTGTGTGTGTGTGTGTGTGTGTGTGTGTGTGTGTGTGTGTGTGTGTGCGCGCGTCTGCGCGTGTGCGTGTGCGCGCGTGTGCGTGTGTGCACGTGCGCGTGTGCGTGCGTGTGTGCGCATGCGTAGGCCCAGATGGAGATGGACTCTTTGGCCATGGAACGGAAGCAGCTGCTGCAGCAGTGGGACAGCAGTCTGGTGGGCATGCGCAGACGTGATGAAGCCTTCACCGCCATGCAGGACGCCCTGCGGTGAGGACCAGCCCACCCACCCCTCCCAACAGATGTGTACAAACCACAGCCACTGTTGCTATACACTTCATACATAGTACCCATTGGTGCCTTAGCAGCCCATTCCATGTCATTGAGTAAAAATAGTCCTGGATAGTAATTCACATGTTTTGTATAAGAAGGAATGGGAACGAGATGCTATCAGACATGCATGCATAACGCAGGTCAGAGCATGAAGGTATAGGTTTGGAATGGCTTACATAGTTATAGCATAAAAGAACTAGAGATTTTTCCAATATTGCAGAAGCAAGGTTATGTTATATTGGTTTCCATGACAAAGATGAATAGCTAAAAGCTAAACAACTAAAACCTCTATAGATGGGTACATTCAATTAAAAGACATACACACACACACACACACACATCCCACCTGCAGCTTGGTGCTGCAGCAGGCCCTGTCTCTGGAGGGGGAGGAGGAAAGCTACAGGAAGTCCATCACCAAGGAGCAGGAGCACAACAAACTGCTCACCATGCAGCTGAAACGCGCCCAGCTCGACGCCGGCACCTACTCCAAGCGGATTGGCCAGAGCCAGGCCAAGCAGGAAGCTCTGCAGGTCCAATACAGCACCTACGCCCGCACGCTGCACGAGACCCAGCGCAGCCTCGCCAGGCTCAATGAGGTATGACAGCAGATGAGGACATTTAATACATATGATTACATGGCTGGGACTATTGTGTACTTGTATTATACATTATTACCTGGCTGAGATTATTGTGTACATTTATTATACATCATTACCTGGCTGGGACTATTGTGTACATTTATTATACATGATTACCTGGCTGGGACTATTGTGTACATTTATTATACATGGTTACATGTCCGGGACTATTGTGTACATTTATTATACACGATTACCTGGCTGGGACTATTGTGTACATTTATTATACACAGTGTTGGGAAGGATACTTTTACTCAATCTGAGTATTGTATTCTGAATACTTGGATTACTTCCACATTGAATTGCATTTTATAAGTGTAGGAATGCGGCATCAAATCCTGCTTACTAAACAGGCTGTTTCTGGTGTGTTCTTCTGTTCCAACTGGCTGAATGTGTTAGGCCCAAGTCTCCCTGAAAGTGCACTATATTATAATTTGCTGTAGAGGAACAAAGACTATAAGGGTATATTTATGCAAAAGATATGACCAACAGACGAATTGACCAATTTTCCCTTTTCAGTTTCTTTATTTACTCAGCTGTTAGTAGTGGGAAAATAGACAAACATAAAATAAAATAACCCCCCCCCCCCCCGTTGGTCGTCCGTCCGGGGTGTGTTACGATCGCGCTCCCCCCCCCCCCCCCCCAGTCCGACGTGTTCTGGGCTACAGCCCCGGATCATTTCAATTGCTAGCGACATCCATGAGTATCATCATGTAATCCATTGATTTCAACAATGTAACTGTATTCTAAATACCAACTATTTAAATTGTAACTGTAACGGAATACAGTTACTCATAATTCGTATTCTGAATATGTAACGCCGGTACATGTATTCCGTTACTCCACAACACTGATTATACATTACCTGGCTGGTACTATTACATTGTGCATTACAATAGGAGGCTGGAGGGAGGAAGTGACAGGGTGGGATGTTGAAAGCGCTGAGGATTTTTGTGTGTACTTGAGTTTTTTTTATATGGTTGTGTGTTTCTTTGGCTCCCTTGAAAATTAGATGAGGTTATGCCTCAATGACATTTTAAGATTTAAGATTTTTACAAGATATGGTGGTTTTTATCAATGTTTTGCTTCATTGACCATGTTATATTGTTCACCCTTATATTATATAATATATTATTATATGATATACCCTTATATTCATATACTCTGATTCCTTCCCCTGAAACCTCTCCCTTGTTCTCTAACTGTTCTCTGGCCTCTACTCCTCTACTACTATGTGTTTCTGTTGGCCGTCTGTCTGCCGGTAGGAGTACAGCTCGCAGCAGGTGGAGCTGAGCAGCCTGAGGAAAGACCTGGAGAAGGAGAGCGGTGTGCGCTTGGAGCTGGAGGACAAGATCATGAGTCAGATGCAGCAGGAGCTCACGCACGACAAGACAGCCAAGTACACCCGGCAGCTGGCCGGCAAGATGGCCGCTCTCAAGAAGGACCGGGTAGGAAGTGGTCGCCACACACAGTTAACCAGCTGTCTAATCGTGTTCATCTTAGCATTTCTGTCAGATATAGGAAAAAGTAGGGTGACCATCTTGTAACAAAGGGTTCAATGCCGTTTTTTTCATTTAATGAATGAGTATGAGCTTTTTTGTGCCTTTGTGGATAGGCCAGTGAAAACGGACAGGAAAGAGGGTTGAAAGAGAGAGGAAATTACATATAACATGAGACCACAGGGAGGAATCGAATCTGGATCACAACGACGAGGCCTATTGCCTATGTGGTTAGCACACTAGCGTGTTTATCCTGTGAGCCTTGATACAGGATTTTACCATCACCACTCTCATGTTTCAGTCCCAGGAAACTTCAAATAATGTCAATATCAGCAGTAAATAAATAATAGTAATAATAAAGCTGAGCATGTCGATCCTCCCTCCCAGATGAGCCAGCTGTGGCAGCTGGAGGCGGAGGTGGCAGCGGAGGGGCTGCAGAGCAGCGAGGTGAGCCAGCGTCTGGACGCGCTGGCCGGAGAGCGGGACGTCCTGGAGGCGGAGATCTCCAAGCGCAACAAGGTCCTGGCCGCCACCCAGGCCAAGGTCTCCAGCTGCTCCACCGTCATCGAGCGCAAGCAGGCCGCCATCAACGGCTATAACAAGAAGATCCAGCAGATCGCTGCTAGCACTGGGGTGAGAGAGTGAGAGAGTGAGAGAGTGAGAGTGAGAGAGTGTGAGAGTGTGAGAGTGAGAGAGAGAGAAACCCCATCTGTTGGTATCATGGTGCATTCTGCCTTTAAAGTATATATAAAGTCCATGGATTCTCCTGTTGAATCCGTTTTGAAAAAAACGTCCAGAAACGTCGGTTCAAAAATCCACAGAGAGTAACAAATCGATATCGGCTGAGTGATTGGTGTGATCATGCTTCATTAGACTACTCAATCCTAGCGTGTTAGACAGAAATACATTTCCAGTCATACACTAGTCAGTCACGCTCTACTGCGTGGTGGATGCAGCTGAGGCAAGATAGGGATGTTTAAACCTGACATATTTTATGGTGTTTCTGATATGTCCGCAATGAGTACTTTACAAGCTCTTCGGATGAGCAAGCAGTGTATTACATTATAGACCTCTCTCTTGTGTATGTTGATCTTCCGTATTGAATTACACCAAGAGGCATTCAGTGACATGTCTGGACACACAGATAATCACATTTTACTACCACGGCTCTCGGCTCCTCTAAAACTCACCAGGCCCAAGCTGAAGTCGCTGGATAAGCCGGCACTTGATCCGCCCCTCATAAGCATAGCAACGTTGGGAGGCAATGGTGGAAACCGTTGGAAAGGCTGCAACGCCAGGCTAATGGGGACAGATAGTCTAGTGCAGTGTTTCTCAAATGGAAGTGGAGAATACAAAACGTGTACCTCGAGGGGAATTTGAAGGATTGCAAAGGGAACTCGGAAAATGTAACAAAAATTTAAATAAAATGTGTCCCTTTTGTTGTTTTAATATTGGTTATGAACAATTGTAAAATAATACCACCTTAATAAAATGTGTTGAATACCACCTTATACCACCTTAAAATTAAGTAAATCTGAATACCAACATACAAGTTAGGTACATTTTTCCAATAAATAATACAAATCATAAGTGAAGCACAACCCCACATTTATCACTAAGTATTTGCACCACCCATTTACTGTTTACACCAAATATCATGCACATATATTATTTATATTCATTTTCCTTTTTTTTGTTTTGTGCGGGTGAAAGGGCTGAAAGAAATATCTTAGAAGGGGTACAAAAATTGTTTGAGAACCACTGGTCTAGTG